TCTCCCTGGCCCCAGGGCTGTAAGATTCTAAAAGCCGGCCTGCTGGGGACAGCCCCAGGGGCAGCAGAGGGCACTGTCCAGCAGCAGACACCAGCCCAGCCTCACCTGAGCATTCCTGCTTCTTCAAAGTGGCAACTCCTGAATTATTTTTATTTTTAGTTCACATTTTTTATCCCAGTGCTAACCAGAGCTGACCTCGCTGAGCTTCCAAGACCAAGGAGAGCCGGCATGTCCAGGGCGCTGGGGCCAAGGACTAGCTGGGGCTCTTCTGAGACAGGGTCTCCCTATGCCTTCCAGGCTGGCCTTGAACTCACTGTATAGGCCAGCGAAGCTCCCACCTCAGCCTCCTGAGTGGGGGATGCAGGCGTGCCACGCCACACCCAGCCAGCACAGCAGCCGTCCCTGAACACCAGGCTTCCCCACGAGCAGTTCGGTTGGCTCAGAGACAGCCCTGCAGTCAGCTCACACCTGCTGTGGCAAGCCAGACAGCTGACATGCTGACTCTCCTGCGCAAAGAGCCTCACGGGCTTGAGCCCTCCTCAGCCAGCACCAAGCTAATACACCCCTCCCTGTGACTGCTTCCAGGGCCGGACCTCAGCACCAGCGCAGGTCAGGCATGGCGGGGGCTGGGCGCAGGGCTGCTGAGCTGCGTGAGAGCGCAGGTGGCAGGTACTGAAATAAATGTTCCGCCCTGGAGGTGAGCAGGAGTAGAGAGCCGCTGCGTGCCGGGCCCTGTGCAGACGGCACCGATGCCCTCACTCCTCAGAAGATTACTCCAAATGTGTCATGCAGACCGAAGTGTGCAAGGCATACAGATACCTGTATGCAGGCCTAACTAGGATGACCGCCTGCACACCTGCGGCCCGGGAGGCCACCAGACAGGGACAGCTCTTCAGAAGCCTCTCAGTGCTGACCCCACTGCTCACGACTCCTTCCCCCTACCTCCTCTAGGCTACTACTTCAAAGTTTTGTTTTATTTATTCGCTCTTTAAATTTTTTAGAGGAACCAGGGATTGAACTCAGGCCCTTGCGCTTGCCGGGGAAGCACTTATTCCACTGAGCCATCTCCCTGGCCCCAAATGCCCTTTATTTCAGACAGGGTTTCACTAAATTGGCCAGGCTGGCCCCAAACTTGTGGTGCTTCTACCCCAGCCTCCCAAGTAGCTGGCCTTGCAGGCATGCACTACCACACCCAGCAGGCAGCCAGGCTGGCCTTGAACTCTTGGCAAGTCCCCCGCCTCTGTCGCCCACGTGCTGGATCACAGGTATGTGCCAGCCAGCCTGGCTCCCAACTTAGAACATTACCTCGCCAGGCATGGTGGCTCACACCTGTAAACCTAGCACGCAGGAGGCTGAGGCAGGAGGATCACCGTGAGTTCTAAGCCAGCCTGGGCCACAAAGTGAGCTCAAGGCCAGCCTGAACTGCATAGCAAGATCTTGTCTCAAAAGACCAGGAAAAAAAAAAAAAAAAAAAAAGTCAGTCTCACTCTAATGACAGCGCTCAGTCCTGGGAAGCCGGAGCTCTTTGGTGTAGGGTCAGGGGCCACACTGGCATGGGGTAAAATGGGGGACACAGGACAAAAATCTTCACATGGGAGTAGGCCAGGTTCATCCGGGCATTCCAGCTGAGGGCTTAGAACTGTGAAATAGTGGCAAGGACAGTAGGTGATCTGTGTGTCCCCAGAGCCACCCCACCGTACTTGGGGGGCCCCTTGCACCTCCTCTTCCCTGTATTGGGTCTTGTCCTTGTCTTCCTCTTTCCTGGTTTTTTTTCTTGTTTTGGAGATTTGTGCGTCCGAAGTGTCGACACAGACTCGCGGTGAGCGCCACATGGTTGGCTGGGTGTAAATTCTGGGGTGGGAGTCGTTCTCCTTCCACATTTACTTTGACATTCTCTTGAGGACTACGTGGAGAAACCCACAGCTGCTTGTGCTAGTTTACAGGTTCCCTTGTTCTCATTACATTCTCAGACCAGTAAGACGGGCTTGCTTAGCATCCCCGGGGAGCACCCTCATTCTTTAGGTCTGACCCGTGAGGAGGAGGGGAGGATTAGAGAGTATCAGCTACGGACCATATGGAAGTTTTGAATGACATAAACTCAGAGATTCAGGGCCGGGGAGATGGCTCAGTGGAATAAGTGCTTCCCTGGCAAGCGCAAGGGCCTGGCAAAGGTTTCTTCCCAGGCTGCACTAGGACAGACGGGTTACTTTTTTAGCTTTCTTCAACCACCTTTCTACCATTCTATTTGGTTTTTAATTTCTGCTACTAGTTTCTGGTTTCCAGTAGCTCTGTTCTCTTACAGATTTTCATTACATTATGTATACCATTCTGTGTGCACGTATGCTATGGTCTAATAGCGCCTCTTGTCTGAGGGTAATAAGGCAATGAGGGTAGTACTTTCTCCCATTGTCTTTCCCCCTGCACCTATTCTTCGTTTTTCATGAGGCTGACTTTTGTTTCTCCTTGGAGTGCTAGAGATCTGACTGGGGTCTGCTATGGAGTTTTTTTTTTTTTTTTTTTGCTAGGGAGTTTTTGTTTGTGTTTGTGTTTAGTTTTTTGTTTTGTTTGTTGCCTTTTGACACACGGTTCTCCTATGCAGTTCAGGGATAGGAACTTCAAACTCACAGGGATCCACTTGCCTCTGCCTCCTGAGTGCTGGGATTACAGGGTGCACCACTACACCCTGCCTGTAGTTCCTGGATTTTGCCAGTGGCTGTTTTGCTACTGTCTGTTTCTGTCTGCCTCCCTCTCCCTCCCCCTCCTCTCTTTTTCTCCCCATCCCTGCCAGCTGACACAGAAGAGATGATTTACCGCCCACATAGCTGACAGCAGAACTTTCTAGTCCAGCATGCCACAAGTCCAGAGCAAAGGGTGGTGCTTTAGGTATAGGAAAGGAGGGTTCCTCAGAGGTGGTCTTGGCCGCCAGGCGGCCATGGACGTCCTAGATCCACTGAGACACCTCCTAGACAGTGGGCAGCAGTACACAGTGGTCTCTGGCCTCCAACATTCATTCTGTTGGTCCCTCCAGCCTCCACAGGTCACAGCTGGTTTGTGTCCTCCCCTTCCATCCGTGCAGCCTGAGCCTGCGCTTTTTCCTCCGCTGGTTTCTTTTTCTTTTCTTTTCTTTTCTTTTGAGACAGGGTTTCACTGTGCAGTTCAGGCTGGCCTTGAGCTCACTTTGTAACCCAGGCTGGCCTCAAACTCACAGTGATCCTCCTGCCTCCACCTCCTGAATGCTGGGATTACAGGTGTGACCACCTCTCCGGCTCACTGGTTTCTAAGAAGATGGTGCCAAAGCTGCGTCCCCTTCCCACCAGGAGCCTCCTTCGAGTTCCAAGGCTCCAGAACTGCCTGCTCATGACAGCGAGTGAGGGATCTGAGAAGCTGACTGGTGCTCCTGCACAGCACCCCAATCTGGATCATTAGCTCTTCAGCCGGGCAGTGTTCCGATACCCTGCCCCACCCGGAGTGACACCACTCCAGGCTCCCCGTCAGTGCGGTTCGGCGACCGCTGCAGGCAGTGCGCCATGAGCTGGGGCCACCAGTCGGCCGACATCAGCCCCAGCCGAGGGGCTCTGCCCCTTTTCATGGAGGGAAGCATCTGTTGAAGATGGGGCACCTTGGACCCCCAAATCCGTGCCCGGAGCCCTGCTGCTGCCCCAAACACATGCCTTGGAGACGTGAAGGGCAGGAGCAAGGGCTAGCTCCAGAGAGGTCACCTAACTCTTGGGCTGGGACAGAGCAACAGGGACTGAAGTCACCTCGTCTGGGGATGAAACGGGAAACACTGGCTCTCACCGAAATGGACAGGCCACGGACTGCGGGTCACCCCGATCCCGGTGACAGGTGCCTTAACGCCTTGTGGAAAAACAGGACGGTGTAAAAGTAGGCATACGCTGATGGCCCCAGAAATCCGCAGTCTTTCCTTCGTCCTCCTTGCGGCCGTCCTGGCCAGCGTCCCCAGATGGCTCTCCTGTCCCAGCCGAGCCCGGTCAGACCCCGGAGCCCGGGCTCTCCTAGCCCTGGGCAGCCAAGCGCGTGCGTCCAGGTCTGCGGCGGGTTGCGCAGGCTCGGCGAGGCCCAAAGCCCGCCCCCCAGCCTGCGCGGCGGTTGCCTAGGAAACGCCCAGCGGCCTCCGCCAGTCTCCGCGCCCCGAGAAAAGCTAGGCGGAGCTCCCGAGGGGCCCGGGGCCCGGATGTAGGCGGGGCCCGACGAAGCCAGGGGCGGGGCGGGGCCGTGGTCGCCGGTGGGCGTGTCCCGACGGCCGGCGCGGCCTAGCGGAGCGGGGCGGGCGGAGCGCGGCGCGTGGGGCTCGCCATTAGCCGTCGCTCGCTTCGCCATCGCGGGCTTTGTCTGGCCACTCGCTTCCCCGGCGGCGGAGGCAGCGGAGCTGCGGCTCGGGTCTCCGGCCCCCGCGCCACCCGGAGCCCCCGGCCTGCGCGCCCAAACCCACGCTCGGTGAGTGGCCCCAGGGCGCGGGTTTGGGGAGCGAGGCCGCTCCCGGCGGCGGCGGCGCCGAGCTCCACGCGCCCGGGCAGGCCGGGAGCCATGCTGGGCTAGACTGAGCCGGCTCTGGAGCGGCTCCGAGGCCCAAGCCGGCGCCTCTCGCCGTTTCCGGAGCGGAGAAGCCTAAGGGACTTTTTTGTTCGGGAGATCGGGGTGGTTTTTTTTTAAAGTTTTGTGGGCGCCGCTAGGCAGCGAGGGTGACCGCGAGGCAGTGCCGAAGCCTGGCCGCCGCGCGTGCACCGAGCTGGGCCGCGCTCCGAGGAGGGTGCGACTGCCCGGAAGGCGGGCAGGGCCGAGTGGGACGCCGAGCCAGCGCGGAGGTCGGAAGCGAGCTCCGGCGCGGATCGCCGCGGCGCGGCCGGCATTCGGCTTCCGCGGCCACCGGGGG